ATTTTTTAATGTTCCGGGACAAAAAATATTAAAATATTAAAATTTTTCATAACCTTATAAAATGGCTTAAAATAAATGTGGTCACCCATTGTGAGGGAAATTTTTATTTTGTTTGGGCGAAAAAAAAATTAAAAAAATAAAAAATTTCAAAACTGCATAGAATTGCCTAGAAAACATGTGGCCATTAACTTGCAGTGAAATTTAAATATTTTTAGGTTGCCAAAAAAAATTAGAATTTAAAAATTTTCAAAACTTCACGGAATGGCTTATAATACCTGTGGCCACCCACTTTTAGTTATATTTAATTTTTTTAACGTGCCCTAAAAATTATTAAAATAAAGAAGGACAAAAATTCGCCCCCAGGGTTTACCTCCCGGCTGTCGGCCGTGCGGGGGTTCCCTGGGTCATCAAAAAAAAAAAATTTGGAAACTTTACCTATTAGCTTAGACTACCTGTGGCCACCCAATTTTAGTATGGAAATTTTTTTTATTTCACGGAAAAAATTTTATATTAAAAAATAATAATTTAAAAATTCTAAAAAATTTTAAATTTCAAAACTTTACAGAATGTCTTAGAATATCGGTGGCCACCAACTTTTAGTGAAATTTTTTTTTTAGGTCCCAAAAAAAATTTAACAATAATAACAATTTTTCTCTTTCAAAACTTTACAGAATGACTTAGAATACCTGTGGCCACCCACTTTCAGTGAAATTTAAATTTTTGTACGTGGTCAAAAAAAATTTATTCAAAATGAATGCGATTCATATAGTGATGTTTGATACCTGTGGCCACCCATATCGTGCTCATATATTGATGTTTCATATCAAAATGAATGGGATTCATAGTATATTTGTTCGTAGGAAATTGCACGTCATAAGCACTCGACATTGGCTCATTTCAAGGAAACATTTTCTCAGTCTTTCCATCAAAATGGTAAGCTTCGTCATGTACATCATTATGTGTCCGTAATACGTGTCAATAGTTCTTTACATATTTGCATAACCTTCCTACTTGTCAGTATAAACGTGGAGGTCATTTGTATAGAAGACAAGCCTCTTCCTCGTCCTCGTCCCCGGCCCTTTCCTCTTCCCCTGTCCCGTCATCTAACCCTCAACCACAATATGGTCCGTCACAATATGGACACGTTGGCCCTTCCTCCAACACTCAACAACATGTTACGGGACTTGGCCACATGCGAACTGAATCTCCTCCAGTTCAATCTCCTTTAGCTCCCTCTCCTTCCATTCCACCCCATTATTCGGCAGAACAATCGAATATTGACGGAAACACAGGTCAAGAAGATAACCAATTCTTCATATGCCCATTTGGAGATTCGTAAGTACTTCATTTTTATTTTAGTATATGTAATATTTAGGGCTTTAGATATTGATGTCAACTGAATTGTCGATGTTGCACAATATCCGTATGATTGCAGATTCACGGATGCTCCGTCTGTTGTGAGGGAATTGAACAAAATAGTAAGAAACTTTTGGATGGGAGAGTATATTACTCACAGAAGTGTTCCACAAGAAGTGAAAGAAATATAGTGGAATGAGTTCAAGATAAGTTTTACATATTTTATTTTCTCACCAATTAAGTTTGGTGTAGTATATTGATGGTCAAGAATGATGTAAAGAGACCAGAACAACTCTGTAGTTTTCGATATCTAAAGGACCAGATATTTTCCCCGATATGAACTTTACAAAATTTGTCTATATTTGTCTGGTGCATGGTTATGGATATGTGATCATCATAATAACTTTCAATTTGTGTTTTTATTCATTGCAGCGGAAGTTCAAGTGGGAGGAAGCGGAAGACAATGAAGTGAGAAGAATTTTCGATAAGAAAAATGGTGATTTTATGCGAAATGTCATGAATAGAGCGAAGATCAAGCAAGTGAAGCCGTCTTTCTTTACAGCTGACAATTGGGCGGCAATTAACAGATTTTGGGCATCTGAACAGAGTCGGCAACTCTGTGAGCAGAATAAGAAGAATCGATCTTCTAGCTCTAGTGATGGGTCAGCCACATATGCTGGGGGCTCTATCAACATTGCGGAGCATCGCAAACGACTGGTAAGTCTGTTAAATGAGTTATAAGTTAATTTAATTCAATTACTCATGTTTACATTTTGTAGGCACAAGAATTGGGGACGGAACCGACATTTGCAGCTACATTTGAACGCACATTTCAAAAGAAAGATAAGACATGGACTGGCGATCGAGCAAAAGCTGTTAAGGTATGTAAGGTTATACTTTGGCTTATATGTAAACTATAATGAAAACCGTGAATGCTTTCAATATTTATGGTAGATATATATATATATATATATAGTGATTTTATTTTCATCTACATTGTTAATGTAGGAAAAATATGATGAATTTTTAATGAGCAGTGCTAGTGGTAGTGATGATTGTCCTGAGTCCGGGCCATCAGTTGATAATATGGCATTATGGATGGAGGCAACGGGTGGGGTGAAAAAAGGGAAAATATTTGGGATGGGATCATTGTCAAGGATGTACATGCCGAATAATCCTGGAAGTTCATCATCCACTGCGACTGGTCGAAGGAAGTCACAACAAGACGAGCAATTGACCCAAGAAGTGCATCGTCTGAATAATTTACTTGTTCAGAAGGACGAACAAATAAATAACTTGGAACAACAAATGATACTCGTTATGCGACACCTTAACCTCAATCGCTATGACGATCCTCCTGTACCTCTAGCCAATCCAATAGGTGATGGGCACAATGATGACCAACACATTGATGCCGAGAATGCTGATGATGATGATGATGATGATGATGATTTTCTCCAGACTTTCTAGTTAAAATTCTCAAAATCGGGGGTAAGCTTGCTTCATAATCTTGGTTTTTCATAATTTCACTCATATTCATATGTAAGAACATTTATGTTCGTCCTGAAACGTATTTTTGTTAACCCTCTTGTTATTTTACACCTAGTTCCACATCCATGCATAAACGCTTCTTTTATATTCTGGACTGATTTATGTATCGACATTTCCTCAGGTCTCGACAAAAGTGACTACTTTTGGTGTCCTGCCATCGTACCAAAGCTGCGTCTTCTTGTGTATGGTTTTTCTGCGTCTTCTATGGTTGTCCCGTCTCTTAGTTCATGTTTTGAATGTATTGTAAGATTGGATATCAAATAGCATCATGTCAGACTCGGTAACTTTCCTTCAGTTATTTGTTTCAATTATATGTCATTGTGGCTTGTTTGTCAGAATCTATGGTTTGTTCGTTTTTCTGTTTCAATTATATGTCATTGTCTCCTTTGTTTGATATGGACAAGAATTTATGGCCGAAATGATGTAAAAATAGCGACGAATATTTTAAGCCGAATTTTGCGATCATTACAGTTCGTCGCTAATTTGCGACGAATACATTTTGCAACGAATTTTGCGATGAAATTTGCGACGAAATTTGCGACGAAATTGCGACGAAATTTGCGACGAATTTTGCGACGGTTCGTCGCAAATTTGCGACGAAATATTTGCGACGGATTGTATTCGTGGCTAATTTGCGACTAATTTTGCGATGAAATTTGCGACGAAATTTGCGACGAAATTTTGCGACGAATCTGCGACGAATTTGCGACGAAATTTTGCGACGAATTTGCGACGAAATTTGCAACGAAATTGCGACGAAATTTGCGACGAATTTTGCGACGGATAGCGTTCGTCGCAAATTTGCGACGAAATATTTGCGACGGATGGTATTCGTGGCTAATTTGCGACTAATTTTGCGACGAATTTTGCGACGAACTTTTAAATTTTCCGTCGCAAAATTTTGCGACGACCTAGTAGCGACGGAATGTTTTCCGTCGCAAAATTCGTCGCAAATTCGATTTGCGACGGATTTTTGCAAATTTTCCGTCGCTAATCCGGTGTTTTTTTGTAGTGTTTGAGCATGTGGGTATGTATGAATTTACGTGGAGCGATGTGTGTGTGATCACTAAAAACCCTGAGACGTTTAACGTGGGGTCCAGATAAAATATAGTGTGTGGTATGCTCGTTTGATCACATAATCCCTGAGGCGTTTAATGCGGGAAATTGAACCCGTCCTGAGGGGTGTAACGTGGGACGATGCCCGGTATTACCGGAAGACTGCTAGCCTGAGGCGTGTACTTCAACGCGGGTTACGCAGTAGGTGGTAGATGTTGAGCCTGAGGCGTGTACGTTTACGCGGGCCCGGAAGTGATGTGAAAAGAGGTCGCAGTGTACCTGAGGCGTGTACGTGTACGCGGGTCACTGGCGAGGAATGTGAATGGGATATGATGAGAACGAGGTCGCAGTGTACCTGAGGCGTGTACGTGTACGCGGGTCACTGGCGAGGAACGTGAATGAGACATGATGAGAACGGAATGAGTGCATGACATGAAAATTTGTGCATGCTTGCGATTGTGTTGATGTGCCTGCTATGTGATTATGTGGTGTAGGTGAGTGATTGTGTTTTGTGAAATTGTCTGGAGGTAGTGATAGCCTAGGTGGGGTTTAGGGGTGAACTTGCTGAGAAGTGTTCTCATGGTTGTTTCAATCAACATTTTTAGAACCCCGACAGGAACCATGAATCCTCCACCGCAGCCACCAGAGCGTTTTGGGGTACCCGTACACACTGAGTTGGACGTTGCAGAGTTTCTGATGGGCGATAACTTCACCTGGATTAAGCACATTTCCACAGTGTTTATAGATGCAGTTCGGTGTGTACCTGTATATTTAGTGACTTGTAGTTTTTGGGGTACTTGCATATGTGGTGGCTTTGTAACTGTAAATATTATGGTCTAAGTTTGGCAATGGGAAAAGAAATAAGTGGATTCTCCCTATTCTCCCAAGTTTTATTTGTCAGGGATTAATTGTTAGTATCCGCTGTGGTTGTAAACCTCTGATGGCGATTTGAGGTCGGCGACATTCCTGGGACGTCGCACTAATCGACCAGTGGCGGATGTCGCGTGCCCATTGGGGTTCGGGGCGTGACATGAATTGCAGACATATCCCTACAGTCCATAACTTTTCAGTGCTCTAGTAGACATCAGCCATCTCTATACGTCACCAAATAAGCTGCGCTGGACGTTTGATGAATTATGCCACAAGTAATTATATTTCCTTTACTTAGTCATTTTCCATCTCTCTCTCACACACAAACAATCCTTGTTATGTAACTGTATTGCCTTTCTCTTGGCAGAAGATTAAGGGCCTGTTTGGTTCAACATTTGAAAGCTGTTTTGGGGCTCTAAAGTCCCTTAAGCAAATGCAAAGTTGTTTGGCAAATTTTTTGGCAAGCTTTGAGGAGATGCAAAGCTTTCCAAGGGCCTTTGGCTGAATGGAGTTCATGAGAAGCTTTGGGAAGTTACATTTTCGGAATGCAATTGGCCACTGTTCATCATTGTTCATCGCGCACTGTTCATCGTCTTCCAAGGAGCTGGTCCGACGGCCGGCCATCGCCGCCTGAGGACTAGCGTCCCGGCGACCGTCGCCTGGGGTCGTGCGACCCCAGGTGGTAGTCGCCGAGGTCCCATGACGCCGCCTGAGGTTGTCGGACATCAGGCTGACTCGCCTGAGGTCAGGCGAGGCTGGTCGGCAACCAGATCTGGCCGTCGGCGGTTGGCCGGCGACCAGATCTGGTCGGCGGCGGTGGTTGGTTGGCTAGTTTTTTTTTTTTTTTTTTAAATATTAGCAAAAGTGTTTTACAAATAATTTTTACCAAACGGTATTTAGACTAAAGTTGTTTTCAAATGTGATTTTAAAATATACATTACCAAACACTACTTGCATTTCGAAAAACCCTTTTAGCTCAATGGTCTTTACATTTTGCCAAAGGCATTCCCCCAAAACCGAACCAAAGATGCCCTAAGTCTATATAAAAAAATATAAATGGGTAAACTGTTTGGATCTTCACCAAACACTGCACTCACTTTTATTGGCTAACTGAATCTTTTTATCCTGATTTTTCTACTCAGCTTATCGGGGGAGATTTTTTTTTTTTTGGGTTTGTTGGGGTGCCTGCGGCACCTGGTCAAATATTTCATGCCAAAGCTTTCGCTTTTGCTGGCTTATATTTTCTCATATTTTCTTGTAATTACCAAAGACAGTCGCTGTCACCATCCACATTGTGTTTCTGTGGTTACTGTCACTCCTTAATGACACTAGGGAGAGAGCAAATTGAATCGCATTGATAGCATCTTCACCAAGTGAGTTGACTGATAGTGAAGGAGTCGCTCAACCTAGAACAACTGTAACTTATCAACCATCTCTATGGTTTACCAGAAAAATCTCCTCGTGTTTTTGCATTACTCTTTTGGACAAGAGCTTGGTGCTGTGATAGATTTAAATAGAGTAAGGATCCCATTGAAGCTTTTGGTCTTTACGCATTTTCATTGTGTAAACAATTCTCTTTCGAAGGGACGTAGGGTTTTTTCCTTCTTGTAATCTCTCAATTTCCAAGAGAAGAAGTCTCTTTTCTGCCACGAGTAACCTCCGATCTTTCAGTATTCAACAAAGTACGTTTTGCAGCTTCTTTGTTAAGCATTCTGGTGCACGTGCCAGCTTTTCTCCTTCCATTGTTTGATTGATTGTCTGCGTAAGCTTTTTTGGGAGGGTAATTGCTTTTAATATTTCCAGGCGACCTTCGGTAGTGGTATGGCTTTTTGCTTTGGCATTTGAGATGGGCAGAGGTGGCTCCTGGCACCGAATACATGGGTTGTTTGAGAGGGCATTGCCAAATGACAGTTTGCGGACATCTGTATTATTGTGGTGCTCCTACATTGCATATGAGATTGATATAGTACAAAACCCTTCTGCAGCTAGGCGTATTTTCTTTTGAGCCATTCACGCCTGTCCATGGTGAGTGCTTTCACCTTAAGCCGAAGAACAAGTAATGCTTAGTTTTGGAAAGTCTGCATATATTTCTATTCAATGCGTTCATGTCAATTGAAAATTGTTAAAGAATACCCACATATGCATAAAAACTATCACCAGTACTCATATCATCAATGATGAAAGAATAGAAGAACCTCTAAGGAATACAACGCATACATATCATCAAAAGATGAACCTAAAAAACAGAAATACACCCTTCAAGTAGATGTCCACTCACAGCATAGACAGTAGAATAGAGCTCACAATAATTTGACATCGATAAAATGGCAATATCAGAGACCGGAGAATAATTGCACTGATCAAACTTAGGAAGTAAAGCATGCCTTGAAAGATCTGGACCGATGAATGGAGGGATCTATCTGTAAGGACGTGGAATGGAATAGGACTGCTTAGCTTCATCAAAATAATCCATTGACATGAGAGCATCGCCCTGACATAAGTAATCCTGGAACAAGGAAAGAACATTTGCTTTAGAAACACAATATGAGCCAAAATTCTCACCAATACAAGGCTCTCTCTCTCCCTCTCTATTTCTGGTCCGCGCCACTGATGTAAGGATGTGGCATGGTCTCTAATATCACCACTGATGGAGTTATTCAATTTTAACCAAAGAGAATTCTCTCAGTTGTTGAAACCATGGGGCAACGTCCAATGGTTGAGCAATTAGAAAATTTGAAGATGAGTGTATTCCGATTGCTCGAGATGCAGGTCCAAATAGACCATTCCCTACTTAACAAAATGTATACTGTAAAATCACGCGACTGCATTAGATTATTTGAATCTCGCTACATAAACAGCACTTGCCCCGTCTCCTTCCCCTTTCTCTACTTTTTAAATTGCGTCCCTTGCAGGGAGACCTAGGCTGCTCCTAAAGCCTGCCTCTTTTGTGTGCCTCTCATAGGAAATGATCCATGTTTAGAAAAATTAAGGTTACAAATGCTTCAATCATGTCAATCAATTTTTATCTGAAGTAGAAACTCACTGACCTCAGTGTACCGAGGAGCTGATGTTGAGGCATCTTTTGCATCTTCAAGAGCCCCACCATAGTTGCACAATCCCAACCTCACAACAGATTCGTACAAAACATAAATCTCTAATTCATAAATCTTCAAGAGCCCCACTCTAGTTGCACATTTTCTCCTTTTCACCAGCAGCTTGGTTTCCACAAAGGCGCCGCTTTCAGTGCAAACTCAGTCACATCGTCAGCAGAATCAACGCGAACACCTTGTCAGCTACAGACAAGAGGGTTAAACCTCATCTGGGAATACTTATTACATAGGCGTGACAGATTTATAAAGTCCACCATCAAACAATTAAAAATTTCCTTAAAATAACTAATTGTTTCTTAAAAAAAGGCGGACCATCGGCTTTTGTTAAAATCTATTTGAGGTAAAATATGTCAATCCATCTATTCATGATAAAATCATTCTATTTATGAATTTAGGAAGCATATTATTTGAAAAAAAAATTCCTAAAACGAAAGTTTTAGTTCACCCTTTCTATTTTTCCCTTGGCCTTTACATCTGTATACATACATGTATAATATTGTCACTTTTACTAAATCATGCAGGATACATGTTGGTCTACTAGCAACTTTCTCCACTTTATCACACCAAAAGCAGACAAAAATCACATTATTTTGTTTCCTCTTTTGGCACGATGAAATATTCCTCACATGCTTATTTTAGCAATTGTGTTTCTGGAAGATAATTGTAATAATATGCATAATACATACGAGCACTTTGTTTTCTTTTTCCATTCAAATTTAGGTTCCTATTTGGACCGAGAGTATAGCTCATTATCGATTAGCAAATAAGAAAGTTCTATATACATATACACAGCTTTTGTGGTCACTAATTAACATCATAGAAATTGATTATCTATCTCCCCTTGTGAAATTATGCTTCATACGAATTTATAAAATTAAGAATGACAAAAAACTGGGTAGATCTGCTACAATGTTGCAGCTTGCAAGAACCATGCTCCCAACTCCTTCTTTGTCCGAAGGATTTGTCGGCATTCCGAGCAGTATGCTGGTCGTGGCAATCCTCCTCTGTGGTCTGAGACAGGTGCTATGTCCGCGGGTTGATGCTTGCGAATAAGAAGGGGACATGGTGGCGCGAGTTTCTTTAGCCTCCCATGTCAGCGGGTTCACAAAGTGCTCCTGCTGGAAGTGAAGGTGAGGGTGTCGACCGTCGGCGGAGATTGGGAAGTCCACGTGCTGAAGAGTCCGATGTCGTGCCACAACCATGTTATTAACGTCTTGGTTCCCAAGGGTTAAATGTTATATTTGAATTTGTGCTTTCGACGCTTCAAATTTTACACTTAACAATGACGAACCTTTCGTAATAGCTGCCTGCGTATTTGCTTTCTATTGTCTTATCTGCTGCCTTACATGTCTTTAAGGTCTCTTATACGCAAACGCGAAATTAGTGTGTTTGTAATTCGTCCACGGAAGAAGAAACAACGAAGAGTTGGAATTATATTGATTCCTTAAGCGGGGTCAACTACTTCTCTTCTGTTTTCAACATTAGGCTTTTCACTACAAGAACCTTGGTCGCATGAGAGGAGAAGGATATAGTGTTACTTGAATTTGTACACTACACAACATTTTTGCGTAAACAATAAAAGAAAATCATTATGAACAGTGAAATAAATAAATATGCTTATCCTAAATAAGGAACTGTCAATCTCTCATGATTAATAGCTATGTTTATTTATTTGATTCAATGAAGCTTTTGCCGGCGGATTCTTTTCTCATGACAAAGTTCTAACTGTTATGTGTGTGTACAGGTACATGTGTGCGTGTCTATATATATATATATATATATCATATCTTCTCTCTAGAAGGAAGAGTGACGATACAATTCTCGATATTCCTAGAATCTTGTGATATTAGGTTAATTCCTTCGTGGCATTCTACTTCTTTTAGAAGATCAGTAGATTTAAGTCCAAATCTACCTCATATGGTTAAATATTGGTAGTTATACCTAGGGGTGAGCATGGTCCAGATGGGCGGTTCCCACCCTAAAACCGGGAACCGCCCACTAAGTACCGGTTCCACAAAATGGGAACCGGGAACCGCCCGTTGGATCAATGGACCCACCCGGGAACCGGACCGACAGTCTGGTTCGGTTCCCGGGTGGGTCCATGGAACCGGTCCTACTAGGGAAATCTGCAAGCATGTGCTAATTCAAGATTGATTTTGGAATGGTTCGTGCTTGGCATTTTAACAGACACCTTTCATGCATTTCTCTTTAGCAATATGAACAGCATGACCAGGGCACTGACGAGGTTGTATGCCTCTTAATTAAATCAAAACATGAAATTTCTCTAGCAAGAAAGAATGCTGCAGAAACCTGTTGACTCAAGCATCTCTACCAGATTCCACACAAACAAAAACATGAAAATTCACAAAAAAAGAGGAAAAAAGCTAGACGTAAACAGAGATTTTCTTCAAGCAATCCACGAGCAACAACTACAAGCACTGTGAGCGAGCAAGGTGGAGGAGAGTCACGACAAGCGTCGTGAGCGGCGAGCTTGTGAGTCTGAGTGAGAGGGAGGCGAGGCTGACTGTGAGAGAGGGTCGGAGGAGAGCCCGTGACCGTGAGAGGCGAGGCGACAACGGACGGAGAGCGAGATGAGCAACAGAGGAGGTGGAGAGACTAGGTTTTCTTTAAGGGGTGAGAGAGAGACCGAGTAAAGGGTTTATTTCTATTTTAAATTATAGCCTGTAATTAAAAAAAAGAAATATATATACCAATCCGGTCTGGGGGGTGGGTGGGCGGTTCCACGCCTGGAACCGGGAATCGGACCGGTACTCACCAGTTCCAGTAATTTGGAACCGGGAACCGGACCGGTCCTCATGAGAACCACCGGTTCTGGGCCGGTCCGGTTCTGGGCTGTCCGGACGGTTTTCGATTCTTTTGCACACCCCTAGTTATACCTAATATATTCGTCGTTTGCTTCATGTACTTCTTCACAGGTCCAAAAAGTTGTGGTTGAATGGTTTTCTCAAACTAAATTCCGTCCTAAGTGCCAAAGAGCTATCTGATCTGCAAGAAGTGATGAGGGATAAAGAATTAAATCTACGGACTTATATTTATGAGATCCTTTTGCAAGATGATATCGTATCATGACGTCATACGTGCTTCATAAGCTGGGGTCATGTGGCATCTCTCAGTGTTCTTTCTTGTGAATTTGGCAGATGAATAATGACTTGACGGAAGGAAGAACATGAAGACAAGGCGGACAAAAGAAGGGCGGGAAAGAAGTGAATGTCCGAGGGCAGCGAGTGTGCACGTTTTGTTGCAGAGGATATTCCGGTGACGCCAGTTGTTATTCGAAAGAGTATATGCACTTCATGAACGTTACTCTTCCATTTTCAGGACAAATGCTTGTGCGGTAATTACATGTATAGAGTGTTTGACAGTTGCCGCTGCAAGTTGTCAGCACATGCGACTACATTGTTATGGAAACTGTTTTTTGTTGACACCGCATCAAATGACGATGTTTTTTTTGTCCAAGAGACTGAGCATCTGGTTGTGGACTAAGTGCGGCCAAGTTCTGCGCAGCATTTCGATTGATATCAAACCATGCAGGTGGTGCTTGAATGGGGCACACCATGAAAGACTGTTACGGAGGGCCTCGCCATCACAGGGAAGTGGCATTGAGAATTTTGTACATTTAGAATATAATCTCGTGTTTGCCATATTCCTTGGTTGATCTTATTTTCTGGGTGACTACATTTGGGTTCAGAACTTCAAATGCGAATCTGAACCGTGAGACTCAGATACGGGAGCGAAAGGCAAACAGAGTACTCTCTGAGCCAAGTTGCTATACCCTAACCCTTAACGATGAAGCATTACTTTCAGAAGCTTTTAGTGAAAAAGAGCGGGTAATATTCACTCCAAGTTTTTGAGTTGTATTAGCAGTCAGAAAATGGAGAAATGTTCTCCTTTGCATGAAAAAACTGCCTCCCATTTTCTCACTACCCAGCAAGGTACTTGGACGTATTTCACGAATGCCTATCATGATATGGAAGATGGTACAAATGAACCAAAGAAAAGTTAATTTATTCTTCGGCTAGAATATTATGAATACGTACTTTGAATCTCCCGCATGGCCAGTGGCCAAAAAAACTCTCTGCATAGCCTAGCAATCCTGTACACAAGTGACTCGGTTATTTTCCACAGATGGTACACTACGAACAAGTTGGCTTTTGCGGTGCTCGGATGAAGGTGATCGGCTGATAGGTAATGTTTTATTAGGATCTTGATGATACGTATATTTGACTTATATTTTGATTATATTTGGTGGTATTTTGGGCAAATATTCGAATAAATAGAGTGGAATTTATTTGTTTTTATGCATTGTGATTAGGTGATGGTGAATGATGCAATCGCGAAGATTTTGGATGCTTTTGATGTGTTTTTGAGCTGTTGGTTGGGATTCTGCATATAAAAGATCCATTTTCCAGAGATCCGTACTCACGGCTTAAGATCGCGCGGATGTAAAGCTGGCGCAGAATTTGGGGACGTGATTTGGCCATTAATTTCCATATTTTCCAGATCTGATTGAGGAGGATTTTTGTACTTAAATAGAACTCTTAATTAGGGACATTAGGGAGAAGTTTTTGCCTTTTATCTTCTCTTTCCATGTTGGATAAAATTTCTTTTTCTAGACTTTCTCTTTTTTTATTTAAGAGGTTGAACGCAAGAGGGGAGGAGAGACTTGACTCCAGAAAATTCAGAAACATATTATTTTCTCTTTTGCGCATTTTGTAGCCATGTGTGGCTAACTCCTTTTTAATCTAGCAAACGATTATCAAAGTTCAAGTTCATTCAAGTTGTGAGATCTAAACTTAATCCTCCTTCTTAATTTCTGCAGTATTTATATATTCTCTGTTTTATTGTTTACCATTGCTTTGTTGGTTGTTACAATAAGAGCTCGTTGTGCAATTGACAGGGTGATATTTTGCCAATTGAAATACCCAAACCCGTAATTGTTTAGGTGTTTTAATAATAATGGCAAATAATATGACTTGATTAAAACCAGATTTTCAAGTTGTATTATGAGAATATATGATCTAGCTTGAATAAGTTACGCGTGTGATTTATTGGCTAGGGTTGGGTTTTTCTCGTTTTTCATGCTATTAGCGAATTGAATCCTTGGCGTGTGTCGGGGTTATTCGTTAATAAGGGATTAATCACAGGCGCGTGTCCAGTTAATCTAATATTAAGGAAAGATTAGGTTGTTAGAAGCGTTTCAACAACCATAACCAATCTATTGCAGTGTTTGAGATTATTCGTTTGACTCAATGATCAACTTCCGAACTTGAATGAGATTACCTTTGCTAGATGTTGCATAATATGATTTTCTTTAATTTCTGTTTGCTGATTTTATTTAAGTATATTTTGCATAAACCCCCCTTTTTAATTTCGCTTTTATTGTTTACTTGGTTTTCAAAGAATTAACAATTTGTCAGTCTCTGTGGATTCGACTCTGCTCACCCTAAGTACAATTTATTTGTGATTTAGAGAGTATGAATTATTTTTGGTGAATTCGACCACCACCAGATCTCTTATGCTGGTAAGGCTGATAACTCCACTTCTCGAGTGCAAGGGCGATAAGCAACAAAGGTGCCATCATTTGAGAAAGAACCAGTATTGAAGCAAGTGATTCCCGTGTAACTGTACGCCTTCTGCTCGCTCTTGTCGCCTAAAACTATCTGAATTAGAAACAAAATAAATAAATAAATAAAACATCGGTGAGGTTAGAAGGAACATTTATCCTTTTCTTGCTCTAATGGCATCAAGTCCTTTCACATAATCTTGAACTTCTACAAGCATCTGCGCTTCAATGTGCTCCTTCAATGGGATAAACCTTAAATTTGTTTCTGGTTTGTGCATATGCAGATATTTTTTTGACTGCCATACAAAGCAAAGAATAATTTGAATACAAAATTAGCGAATAAGAAGTTATTAGTACCGTGTTTGGAGTTGGGTACAGGTGGAGACTACGATCGTTATTCCAAATGACCAGTTGCAGGACAAGAGGGAGAGGGCATAGATGACTTTGTTGCGTTATTGTAGCTGTTGCGGAAGCCAAGTGATCGAACAATAAAATTGACATAATAAGAAAATAAATCGAACACCAGATTTACGTGGTTCGGTCGTAGTGACCTACATCCACGGGGAGAGCAGCACGGAATTCCACTATAGATCAAGCGATACAACGGAGATTACAACCACACTCGAGTCACTCAAACACTCTAAGTGTTTCCCAAGCCCCAATTACACCCAATAACTCACGCAGTGTTTAGCCTCACAATTTCTCACGAAATAATCTCTCAATCTCGCAAAGGAATTATATACAAATCTTAGCACAAGATTTACGCTTGAACACTAATTCTTGGATGTAATTCACGAACGAGAATCCACGGAAACACCCACCGCCAAGCACTCACGAACGTCTTCAAGTCAACCGCGGCGCTTCAAGACTTCTTTATCAACAATGGCGCATCAAGACTTCTTCTTCTTGCGGCCAAGTTCAAGAATATATATGTATATATTTGTATGCCCACGTACAGTGGCCGACTCCAACTTGGAAAGAGATTCCATGCGGTCAACAAGTCCAAGTTTGGACTTTCCTATTTCTTCTTTCTTTGGCAGACCGTGACTCCCACTAAAATTAGGAAAGAATAAATATTCATTCTATTTTCCTTTTCTTTTGTTTGCTGCCAACTCTTGCATATTAGGAAAGCAAATTTCCAATATTTCCTTTTGCTTGATTTCGGACGTCCGCAAAATACCAATTCCGAATATTCAGATTTTCGGGCTTAAACTCGAGACATATTTTCAACAACAACTAACTGCAGCAAACGGCATGATTAGCTTCAGAGCAGTAGCAGTGAAGTGTGAGATGCGCAAGACTGTCGGGAACATTACATGCTTGAAAGGATCATTTGTTTCTTCGGTGGAGGGAGGCATCAGACAGGAGCAACGCATCCTGTATAGCAAATCCTGGCGGAAAAATACGATTTCTTGGGTATAGAACTTGATTCTTTCAAGGAACGCAAGACAGAAACAGTGAAGATAAAACAAAATGTGTTAGCCGGTACAAGCAGACAAAACCCAGCACATATTCCCAATGTCATCATGATGTTCTATGTTTTCATAATCGGTTCTATGCTAGGAACAACCTGCATGGATTGCTTGAAGATATGGCATTTGGAATGTGATTCTGAAACTCTTCTGTGATATATCTTGGCAAAGCACATCTAGGTAAAACTGTTGAGGGACCTGAAAAAAATTGGAAGTTGATTTTCTTAAGGCTTTAGCAATATGGTCCATGCACTTCAAATCACAGCATATATGTTTATTACCTGCATCCTCAGGGCCCGGAATAAACAAAAACTGACTATGCTCCTTCAGACGTGGGTGGGATTCAGTCATCTGCCCAAGCTTGCCGAACTGCGCTCTACATGTAAACATTACCTGTTACCATCTAATACACACCATCTGTACAGAGGAAAATAGAAGAAACTTGTGTTCTGTATATTACAAGAAAAGGAATGAAAAGAAAGGTTGCAGGGTCGAGAGCAAAAGTTTCCCATTAACACAAACGATGAAGGAACTACCACCTCATTCTCAAAACCATCGAGGACTGTCTCTAGTTTTCCCATAGCCTTTTCTACGGACAAAAATGATGTTCAAATCAAACCACACTGAAAAGTAGTAACTTCAAAGATAAATAAAGCAGGTCTTCATAAACAACCTCTTCATTGTCTAGCCAAACGTCAAACATGATGTCATTAACTGCTCCTTTTTCTAAGGGATAATGACACAAATAGTCCATGAACTTTGGCCTAATATGCAATTTGGTCCCTCAACTTTTTATTTGTTCAATATAGTCCATGAACTTTAGACTAATGTTCAATGTAGTCCATGAACTTTTAATTTATTCAATGTCATTTCTGAACTTTTGATACATGTTCAATTCAGTCCCTGAACTATATGAAAATGTTCAATGTAGTCCCTGAACTTGAATTAATGGAAAGAACTGTATTGAACATTTTCATATAGTTCAGGGACTGAATTAAACATATACAAAAAATTCAGGGATGACATTGAACAAATTAAAAGTTTAGGGATCACATTGCACATTGAGCCAAAGTTTAGGGACTACATAGAATAAATTAAAAGTTCAGGAACCAAATTGCACATTGGGCCAAAGTTCAGGGATCGTTTGTATCATTTTCTCTTTTTCTAACTTTGCAAGTCTGAGCTGTAAAACGCGGAAAGGAAAATGATAATACAGCAGAAGTTTGGGAAAATTCTCAAAAAAGTCCTAAACCTATTGTACGGGGGCCAATTCAGTCCTAAACCTTTTAATTTTGTCAATTCAGTTCTAAACCTTTTTAATTCTTGCCAATTTTGGCCGGCTAGCGCTGACGTGGCCGCCGGCCGGCGCCGGCTAGCGCTGACGTGGCCGCCGGCCGTTCGGCCAACACTGACGTGGCAATTTTTTAATATTTTTTTTTTCAATTTTTTAACATTTTTTTAAAATTATTTTTCCCTTTGGCCGGTCCGGCGACCGACGGCCGGCTAGAGGGGAGGGCCGACAAGGTCGACCTCGCCGGCCTCTGGCGAAGCTCACCCCGCTGGCCACCGGCGAGGGCAAGCCTCGCTGGCCCCTGGCTGGGCGAGGTCGCCTCGCCCAGCAAAGGCGAGGCCGACCTCGCCGTCGCGACCCAGGCGACGGCGAGGTCTCGCCTCAACTAGCAAAGGCGAGGTCGACCTCGCCGTCGAGACCAGGCGACGGTGAGGTCGGCCTCGCCTTTGCTGGTTGAGGCGAGACCTCGCCGTTGCCTAGGTCGCGACGGCGAGGTCGGCCTCGCCTTTGCTGGGCGAAGCGACCTCGCCCAGCCAGGGGCCGGTGAGGTCGACCTCGTCGGCCCTCCCCTCTGGCCGGCTGCCGGTCGCTGAACCGGCCAGAGGGAAAAATCAGAAAAAAAAGATTAAAAAATTGAAAAAAATATTAAAAAATTATCACATCAGCGTTGGCCGGACGGCCGGCGGCCACGTCAGCGCCGGCCGGTCAAAATTGGCCGGAAGGACTCAATTGGCAAGAATTAAAAAGGTTTAGGATTGAATTGGCAAAATTAAAAGGTTTGGGACTGAATTGGCCGTCGTATAATAAGTTTAAGACTTTTTTGACAATTTTCCCACATAAGTTTCATAAACTAATTCGACATTTTCACCATCTATTTAATCCATGAAGTCTTCAGGATACAGTCTCCTCTTCGGTTAATGTACCGCCTCCAAAAAAATCAAGTCCCGCAAGTGCTTTCGGAGACTTATCTCGGTCTTCTAAAGGAGGAAATCCACACGTAATGATCTTCGTGACAAACCAAAACTCTTAGAAATTTGAATTGATAACTATCATAAAACACGAGAATCTGCAAAAATAACTTCGGTAGAGCTCATGCAAGTGATGTCAAAACTTTATACTACTGGCGATTGATAGATGCTAACTCAGTGAAAGACTCGATGATAGTTCGTGGCATAATGATTTCTCTTATGACAACAAACTAGAAGACATTGTGTACTGGTTGAAAAGATAGATAAGAGATGAAGAAAGAGAATTCTGACTGTAGCATATCGCGATCTCAATCTGTCGGACATGTCATCCATGTGTTCCGATAATTCACGACACACATCTATCCATTAAAAGAAGGAATTCTGATAGATAAAACCCATTAGTTAGAGCTATCTGAATAGGAGCGTGCATCCTTGGCAATCATGTACAGGCATTTGTGTGTAATTTTCAAATGAATAAAAAATGTCAAGACAATTATAATGAGTGTTGATTTTAATAGAAATATTTTCATAGATTTTAGCCAGAGGCTACTAAGACAAAGTAATAGAACACTCTCAGCAGAGTTCAAAGATGTAAAGATTGTATCTCTAACCTCTTCAAAAACTAAATCAAGAAAAAGTTGATGTGGAAAAGGATCCTCAATCAATTGTTAGGATATTATGAAAAGAAGTCGCAAATTTTGAGATTAAAAAAAAAGAAAGAATATCTAGAAGGACATCAATTTCACCAAATGAAAGCAGAAGTAATTCATGTAAGCTTAAGAGAAAGGAAAATACATGACCAAAACTAAAATTAAGAAGCTATGTATGCTAGAAGCATTTGTCTTGGATCAACACAAAAAGCACGTGAGAGTTCCATTGCAACTTCATCTTAGGGGAATATCACTACCGGTGTATGAATTAGAAGTGATCATGATGTCTTGTTAAGAATCATCATGCTCAAACTCATTTACAACATTCTGTAACTTTTTGGTATGCTTTTTCCCCAACAACAGGGATTAACATATATATTCGCGAAAGAATTATAGTACAACTCTTTCCCAAGTAAAAACAACACATGTCAATTTGATTGCTTCATTTCTTAAGGTTTACCCTGCAAAATGTCCATATTAGTCGGTGTGTGATTTAAATAACCAGCAAAAAGACTCCCTTGTCAGTTGGAATACATAATGTATAAAGACGTAGTAAAAGATAAAATGAGTTCAAGGAGAACAATGCGGCAGTCAGTGAAAAATCTAGCAAGATTCCAATACAGAAGCCACGACTCACCTTAAAAATTCCCTTGAGCAGCATCTGACCTTCTCATTGGTTTATCTTGAGTGACAATAATTGATGATTTGGCACATTGGATGGCTTGGAGGAGCTAGCAATGAACGGCCAAGATCATTTGCTTAGCTATTAAGAAAGGCTCCCATTGGTCAATTTGAAGCGACGAGGATTAGGGGCATTTTGGTCTTCTTGTCAAGAGGGGGGGAATTTGGTAATTTTTGTGCACAAGGGAGAGGGAGTGGTCAGCCATGGCTATGGCTGGTTGGAATGGATGCCGGCCAGCCGGAGAATGGCTGGAAAAGATCGGCCGGTCAACTCCGTGTTGACCCGGTCGGGCCGGGTCGATTCCGGTTCAATTTTATTCTAATTTCCATGCAATTCCAGCCCTACTATGATTAATTGACTCAATTGAATTAGCTTTGATTAAATCGGATCAAATCGATTTGAAATGTGGCCACAATTTAACTAATTTTGGCTTTACTCGGCTAAATTCCCCTTCAAATTGGGCTAAGTTGCATTACCAAACTAGACCAATGCAGCAAAACGCACAAACACTGTCTCTCTTTATCTCTCACACACACATATTCGAACGAGAAGTAAAAAAAGAGCAACCACTTACATGTCCGAGAGAGAGGACGTGAGAAGGGATCGAACTGAGGTGAGAAGCCGAGGGAGGAGGCGAGCACTGCTTCTTCGTTATTTTACCAAAAAAAAAAATTGCATCGAAAAGCTAGGAGCAATGCGATACTTCACCGACGCACAACGTTCGATTCCAAATCCCAAACAGACTCCATCATCTAGCCTCCAAGTAGACTGGAAAAGTGACAAATGACATAAGCAAGGCAATCCCCACGAGTAAATAGGGAAAAAACCACCAAAAACCTCAAACTTTTTCATTTGTGACACATTTACCCCGAACTTTTTTTTGTGACACCAAAAACCCCAAACTTTGTTATTTGTGACACATTTACCCCAATATACATTGTCCATGGGCATTTTCGTCTTTTTAGCTTTTTCTTTTTCTTTTTACTTTTTTTTTCTTTCCGGCGAGGGCCGCCCTCGCCGGCGTCGGCGAGGCTCGCCCTCGCCTGGGCGAGCGAGGGCGAGCCTCGCCCGACGCCGGCGAGCCTCGCCCTTGCACGGGCGAGCGAGGGCGAGGCTCGCCCTCGCCCGGGCGAGCGAGGGCGAGGCTCGCCCTCGCTCGCCCGGGCAAGGGCGAGGCTCGCCGGCGTCTGGCGAGGCTCGCCCAGGCGAGGGCGAGCCTCGCCCGACGCCGGAAAGAAAAAAAAAGTAAAAAGAAAAAGAAAAAGCTAAAAAGACGAAAATGCCCATGGACAATGTATATTGGGATAAATGTGTCACAAATAACAAAGTTTGGGGGGTTTTTTGTGTAATAAAAAAAAGTTCGGGGTAAATGTGTCACAAATGGAAAAGTTTGGGGTTTTTGGTGGTTTTTTCCCCGAGTAAATATCAAAAGGAAAAGATGAAAAACGAGTAAAGCTTTTGCCTGGTCAGCCAAAGCTTGCGACAGATAAAAAAAAAAACCATTGCCAAACGATTCAAATGCTCTAAGGGACCGCTCCATTGTCGGCTCTCCAGACGCCGGAGACTAGACCATCGGATTCTAGGGCTTATCTCGCTCTCGCTCTATCACGCTCAAAAGCCATTTTCGGGCTTATCGTACATTCTCTTTTTCTATTTTCCCTTTTTGTTTGGTTTTAGGAAATTACAGCAATGCCATCTCCTCCTCCTCCTCTATAAATAAAGCGCCTGTGTGTGGTTTCAGTCTACTTCATCGGCTCTTAAAATCTCTCCTACCGCCAAATCTTCATTCCTCTTCCTCTCGCAATGCCGAAGTGCCACCATCCCGGGTGTACCAAGCAATGCAATGCAAAACACCCAAAGGAGTGCAGTCTCCCAATGAAGCGGTGCACCGCAGAGCCACGTGGTATTGCGGAAGCTCCAATTCTGCCTTCAAGAATGAGATGGACCGGGACAACCACAAGTCCAAGTTTCCCACGGAACATGCCGTGGGGACGGCGATGCTCCCGCCAACCCAAACCCTCCGGCTTCCGGTATCAAATATCAACACAAGTTCGTGATATGACCATGCAGTGGAAGGTTACAAAAGAGAAAATTGGCGTTAGGAAGTTTTGTTAGTAGCATCGTTTCCCTTCCTCTTCCTCATAGATAACGGCTGTTTCATGTGGCATATATGAATTCCTGCACTTGCATTCACTTCATTTCCCTTATAACAGCAAATGCTGCTTCTTTGATCTAGAATTGATGCGAGTGTTCGAGTGGAGTCGAACTGGAGTAATAAGTTTTATCAACTTGACTTGATTATAAGCTTTATTAGACAAATATTCAAAAATAATATCTCAATCAAGATATGCACGATCAAAGGGAATTATACGTGCAATGTTCGTGCAATGTACGTGCAATTTTAAAAGATACGGATAATTAATAAAATTATCAAAATATATCTTTTCAAGAGCAATCCCGAATTATCTCTAAGATCCCCTCAAACTCATTTTGACATCATGACCTCATCACGATGATGGCGAGCGACCCGCAGGTCGACACGAGGGACTAGTCTGTGAGCCTGCACCCATACACGTGGGGTACACTGTGACATCCGAAATTTTTTCTTCTCAGTTTATGATATTCAAGATTTTTAGTGGTGAGAGTTATTAAGGTAAAAAAATTAGTTTAGTAATTGTCAACGGGTACCGATACTCTCCAAACGATTCAAATGCTCTAAGCGGCCGCTCCATTGTCGGCTCTCCAGACGCCGGAGACTAGACCATCGGATTCTAGGGCTTATCTCGCTCTCTTTCTGTCTCGCTCAAAAGCAATTTTCGGGCTTATCGTACATTTTCTTTTTCTATTTTCCCTTTTTTTTGGTTTTAGGAAATTACAGCAATGCCATCTCCTCCTCCTCCTCTACAAATAAAGCGCCTGTATGTGGTTTCAGTCTACTTCATCGGCTGTTAAAATCTCTCCTACCGCCAAATCTTCATTCCTCTTCCTCTCGCAATGCCGAAGTGCCACCATCCCGGGTGTACCAAGCAATGCAAAACACCCAAAGGAGTGCAGTCTCCCAATGAAGCGGTGCACCGCAGAGCCACGTGGTATTGCGGAAGCTCCAATTCTGCCTTCAAGAATGAGATGGACCGGGACAACCACAAGTCCAAGTTTCCCACGGAACATGCCGTGGGGACGGCGATGCTCCCGCCAATCCAAACCCTCCGGCTTCCGGTATCAAATATCAACACAAGTTCGTGATATGACCAAGCAGTGGAAGGTTACAAAAGAGAAAATTGGCGTTAGGAAGTTTTGTTCGTAGCATCGTTTCCCTTCCTCTTCCTCATAGATGACGGCTGTTTCATGTGGCATATATGAATTCCTCTACTTGCATTCACTTCATTTCCCTTATAACAGCAAATGCTGCTTCTTTGATCTAGAATTGATGCGAGTGTTCGAGTGGAGTCGAACTGGAGTAATAAGTTTTATCAACTTGACTTGATTATAAGCTTTATTAGACAAATATTCAAAAATAATATCTCAATCAAGATATGCACGATCAAAGGGAATTATACGTGCAATGTTCGTGCAATGTTTGTGCAATGTTCGTACAATGTACGTGCAATTTTAAAAGATACGGATAATTAATAAAATTATCAAAATATATCTTTTCAAGAGCAATCCCGAATTATCTCTAAGATCCCCTCAAACTCATTTTGACATCACGACCTCATCACGAAGATGGCGAGCGACCCGCAGGTCGACACGAGGGACTAGTCTGTGAGCCCGCACCCATACATGTGGGGTACACTGTGACATCCGAAATTTTCTTCACAGTTTATGATATTCAAGATCTTTAGTAGTGAGAGTTATTAAGGTAAAAAAATTAGTTTAGTAATTGTCAACGGGGACCGATACTCTCCAAACGATTCAAATGCTCTAAGCGGTCGCTCCATTGTCGGCTCTCTAGACGCCGGAGACTAGACCATCGGATTCTAGGGCTTATATCGCTCTCGCTCTCTCTCGCTCAATAGCCATTTTCGGGCTTATCGTACATTCTCTTTTTCTATTTTCCCTTTTTTTTGGTTTTAGGAAATTACAGCAATGCCATCTCCTCCTCCTCCTCTATAAATAAAGCGCCTGTATGTGGTTTCAGTCTACTTCATCGGCTGTTAAAATCTCTCCTACCGCCAAATCTTCATTCCTCTTCCTCTCGCAATGCCGAAGTGCCACCATCCCGGGTGTACCAAGCAATGCAAAACACCCAAAGGAATGCAGTCTCCCAATGAAGCGGTGCACCGTAGAGCCACGTGGTATTGCGGAAGCTCCAATTCTGCCTTCAAGAATGAGATGGACCGGGACAACCACAAGTCCAAGTTTCCCACGGAACATGCCGTGGGGACGGCGATGCTCCCGCCAACCCAAACCCTCCGGCTTCCGGTATGAAATATCAACACAAGTTCGTGATATGACCATGCAGTGGAAGGTTACAAAAGAGAAAATTGGCGTAAGGAAGTTTTGCTAGTATCATCGTTTCCCTTCCTCTTCCTCATAGATAACGGTTGTTTCATGTGGCATATATGAATTCCTGTACTTGCATTCACTTCATTTCCCTTATAACAGCAAATGCTGCTTCTTTGATCTAGAATTGATGCGAGTGTTCTAGTGGAGTCGAACTGGAGTAATAAGTTTTATCAACTTCACTTGATTATAAGCTTTATTAGACAAATATTCAAAAATAATATCTCAATCAAGATATGCAAGATCAAAGGGAATTATACGTGCAATGTTCGTGCAATGTTCGTGCAATGTACGTGCAATTTAAAAAGAAACGGATAATTAATAAAATTATCAAAATATATCTTTTCAAGAGCAATCCCGAATTATCTCTAAGATCCCCTCAAACTCATTTTGACATCACGACCTCATCACGAAGATGGCAAGCGACCCATAGGTCGTCACGAGGGAGTAGTCTGTGAGCCCGCACCCATACACGTGGGGT